ACCGCCGAGAGGTACAGTGCCACCTAGCCACTAATGCCCCCGATCCGGAGCAGACACGTCAGCAGGTCTCACAGCGGAGATGACGAGCATGACGAGCACTACTACAGTAAGGCTTCTTTGATGGAGGGCGCAAGGTCAGGCACTGTAATCACTAGGGAGCCGTGGCTGCTTGACGAGGAGGACCCCCACCTCGATGAAGACTGCCGCAACCAGGCCAACGTAGCTACGAAGTCGCCTATACAAGTTAAGCACCCAACCCCATACCACCTGTCCTGCTCCGACGATCGTCGGCTCAGCCATACCATAGCCCCCGCCACGTGAGCAAACCGAGGATGAATCTTCCGCTGAAAAACGGAAGCATACATCGCACTCCGAAACCGTTCCTCCCGTGCGCAGCTCTACACCACCGACTTGCCAAATTGACGCCCAAGCGTGGAATTCGTCGGTGGCTTCGTGTTCGCCATCCCCACACCTGCAAGTCACTTCCTTCGCTTGCTTCACCGCCGAGAAGTGGGCACGCTCTTTGTTATTTTCCCGGTCACACCCATCCTCGCCATAGCTGGGCGCACTGACTTTTTCTACTAACACTCTCCAGACCAATCTTCATGCGAATCTAGTGCCTGATCCGAGGTCGCCCTGTCCCAAACCCCCGGGCTGACATCCCAAGCCGCCCGATCCCGTCGAGAGACGGGCAAACCATGCGTTCCTTCCCTCGTTCGGATCCACTCCGCCATAGCCACTCCCACTGTCCCCGATGGCTAATCACTCAGCCTTTATTGCTGATCCTGGCCAACCTGTTGCTCAGACGCGAGATCCAATGCTACCATCACGTTCACCATGCCCAAAAACCGCAAACTCGCTTCTCTCCCCGCACGATTCCATTGAGTATGGGGTGGGATATAAGATTTTCGTCCGTGCCATAGCCGCCTTCGTCCTTATGCCGCTCAGACCCTCATGTCTGTGCCGACCAAACTAACAATCTAACGCAAAAACTAATACCTCCACTGTGCTCGCCCTGCCCCAAAACCCCAGTTTCGATTCTTCACTTGCCCAATTCCGTCAAGAAATGGGCAGGATAACGTATTTTCCCCATCGTTTCCATTTTCCCTCGGTCTCTACCGCGCCCCTTTTTTTTTTTTCCTCCAGCTTCTCTCTCTTTTTTCTAAACGCCGGTTCGACTCTACCACTCAACTCGCCCATATAAGAAAACCCCACTTCGCTTCGTTCCTTGCCTGATTCATTAAAGGCTGAGCAGGCCACGGATTCCCCCCTTGGCCATATCCACTTTTCTCCCTCGTCACTTCCCCTTTCTCATCTTCACGTACCTAGACTGGATCTTGGGCAGATTCGTGCACATCCTTTCAGCAGTTCGGTTCCCTCTTTTTCTTTCTCACAGCAGATGAAAGGCTCACTTTGTGGAGGGAGCGGAACTCCTAGGATAATGGCGAGGACAATAGCTCAATGGAGATGGACATCTACCACTTTGAGGAAGCCCTCCATACTCGAAGTGCAGCCTTGGTGGCTACTACCCTCTCCTCACCAGATACACGACCACAGCCAAATGCTCACTAGTATTTCGACGCTGTGGCCCGCCCTGTCAGCAATAGAGCTGCTCTGCCTCAGTTATGGCCATCAGCGGTGCGTGAGGAGAACGCCCTACACATACACCCACAAAATAACGCAGCGAGGGAGCGACGCTGCCTCCACCAAACTCGCTGCTAGGAAGTTAGCCGAGTGAACCTCATCTCCGTCGGTCCCCAGCCTTTTCTCCTCTAATTCTCTACCAAAACACAGCAGTCACCTTATCTGTCCTTCCAGGCAGCTAACATCCACGGCCAGACTTTCAAGACCTCCCCACATGCACCTAGATGGGAATCTATACAAAAAAACAACTACATCCACAGACCTACCCGTTTTCAGAAAAATAAAAGAAAACAGCTGGGCTGAAAAGGCCCAGCCCGTCAAGTAGAGGCTACCCGCCTGCAAACTATGGTCTGAGGATCAGGCCCTGGTGGCCCAAATGACCACGGAACTAAATCCCGCAAGGTCCAAACTAAGAAAAACAGCAAACACGGTTGGGCATAGCCCCTCATCAGTGCGTCGCAAACGGACGAAGGACTGTGCCTTGTGCAGGGACCCAGGATCGACGGGTTCGGCTGCCTTGGTGGTTTCGGACAACTCTGAGATTCTTGTCTCTACGAACCGAGCCCCGCAATCGGGTCTGTATTCGCAACTGTCCAGTTGTGTATCCACTGAACTAGGTACTTGAGTCACGACCGGATCTGGTGCCACCGTCGGACCACGTTCAGAAACAGAACACAAAAAAAAGAAAAACAAACAAACAAAAATAAAATAATAATAAAACTTAGAAAAAACAACTTTCTTGGAAGCGGAGCAGGGGGGGCCGTTGGTACCTGGCCCCCGGTCCTGCCTCTCGGGCCCGCTGTCGGAGCCCCCTGCAAAAGCCAAGGGGAATAGTCCTGCGGGACCCTCACCCCCTCGGCTCCCTCCAATGCACTCCTCCACTGCATTGCTGTTTGTTGCTGGATTTGATCCCAAGATTCACTTGGTGACAGTTTAGCATTGTAACCAATAGGGCTAAGCTCAAACCTAGACTAGTTCCGTGTCACCCAACATGTAAATGGTAACTGTGGCCAGCCTGGGCCTGCAGCAGCAGCGTTATGGCTGCTGCTTGACTTCCCATCAAACCCACGGCCCCGTACGCACGCACATGCCGTTAGGGCCGGATTTTGCTCGGCACATCACGCTCATAGCCCCCATAATGCCGCGTGGAGGCCACCGCTTGCGTTCTACTTCCTTTCGCATGCCCCAACCAGCGCCAAAAGCTAGCATTACCACCTGATGACGTATTCTGTATGAGCGCACATGCACCAGGGTCACTCCAACATAATGAACAACCTTTCCTAGTTTTATTCAACGCCAAAAATCTTTGCCGACGGAAACGCCGACCCTATAGCATCAAGAGAAAACATCATCACGCGCGCCTCAAAATTGCGCGCCCACACATACTTTCCTCCCGTCAACCATTCAGTCAACGTGAACCAAACACAACCGCAACTTCGCATGGTATACTCAGATTCTGACCAAACCTTATCTCCTGTCACTTGCAAAAACTAGGGCGGATACCCTTGTAAGGGTAGTCGAGCCGACACCGCCCACGAGGAAACGGCATCAGATTTCGCTGTAAGAACTACCGAGGCGGCCGTCGACAAAAATGAGTGGTACTGGTCCAATATTAGGGACGATGTTAAATTTATTGTTAAAAATTGTCCCGTTTGTGCGGCAGACAAGGCGCCGATTCAGCCACCTAGGTTGATAGTGCCCACCGTAGTCCAACGGCCATTTCAGAGGGTTAGCATGGATACGACGGATATCGTCGTGCCCCCTGGACCGAATAGCTGTGAGTATTCAATTCTCTTGGTGTTCGTCGACCACTTTTCGAAGTGGATCGAGGCCTACCCATGTCGGACAAGACAGACAGCCGAAATAGCGCGGTATGTCAACCGTTTCTTCGGGATGCATCAGGATACCGAGGAAATCCTTACGAACAATGGAACAGGATTCCGAGGGGAGGTTATGAAGAATCTAGTCGTACATGGGGTGTCTATTCGTAATACCGCCCCCCATATGTCTCAATCGAATGGCCTCGTAGAAAACACCAACCGAGTAATTAAAACGGCACTCCGACGAAATATCGCAGCTAGGGACACGCGGCAGTAGCCTGATATCGTAGAACATATCTTGGCCATACACCGAGGGACCCCGCATGAATCCACGGGACTTTCGCCATTTCAACTACGAACCAACAGCCTAGCTTGCGTCTTGACACTGAACCTGAATGATGAAACGACACTCGGCCGACCTCCCACGAGAGCGGCAGCCAATAAAAAGGTCAAACGCCATTTGGAACTTATGGAACGGACCCTTCCGAGATTGGTCCGAAAAAGGCAGAAAATGACCGAATTGGCCCACGGCTGCCAGGTCCGTTGTTACGAGGCCCGAAACGGAAATGCAGGCCTCCGGCCCAAGTATAAATTGGGGGACTTGGTGCAGGTGAGGAAATGTCCTCGTTAAGGGAAACTAGTGCCACGATTCTTCAGGTGCTTTCGAGTGATCAAGCTCGGGCCTAACGGTGTAAACATTGTGCGCCTTGCTCCCAGAGTTTCAGGTAGCCGGTTTGCTAGACCCATAGTCCGCCACGTGTCCTATCTCCGCCATCTCCCTGCTTCTTCCCCTCCCTCTCCAACTGGTTCGTCTTCAGAATCTGAGTCCGAGTGGGAAAGCGACGATCCCCATTCTCTTTCTTCTCCCCACTCATCTTCTCCCTCCTCTTCGCCATGAGTTTTTCCACCGAGCAGGTACTCAGTGAGCAGATGCTAGCGCCACGCGGGCACATATCGGTGATCAGGCATGTTCATCATCCGCGTATCGACCCAGACGTCATCAGATTTGCTCAGTTTTTCAGCACGGCAAGTGTGCATGCGGCAACAGAGTTCCGATTTGTGGTGCCCAATAGCAAGGCGCAAGTGTTGGCCGAAGCATCAGCCTATCTGCGGCTCTCGACGCCAAGGACCAGCCACATTTCGACAGTTGTCTCCTTCAGCGGAGACATCACTACGGTGGATCCGAGGGCACATCCGGGGAGAGGAGTAGGTGAAATCCTGGAGTCAGTTGCTTGCACAGCGGGGGGAAAACGTCGTTAATACTAATAGTATTGACCTGGATGGCATTCGTGCTCTCCGGCAAAATCCTGCAGTATCTCTCCCTACGCTCGTCGCTTTCTCGCGTCCTCAATGAACCTTCACAGGTTCTCTACCTTCACCTTCCCCTCTGTCTTCCTTATCTTCTGGCGGTCGGCGCTCCATCCCCGTCTCTCTTTCTGCGTGCGGCCATTGACATTTCCTCTCATCAAGCCCGTACAGTGGCAGGGGTGGTGGCGAACCTATGCGACTCTTTCTCTGTGCTTAGTCGAGATCGAACTGAAGTGGACCCGGGACAACGAGCATAATGCCATGAGCGAAGACGTGGAGTTGCTCATCATTCAAGCTTGGAGGATGGAGGCAGAGGGAGATCTGTTAGGATTCGTCTTCGGATCGGTGGAGGCGGGACATCGGCAGCCGATCGTGGGAGAGATTCTAATCCTCCTGACGCAGTTGTTGGACGATCTACCGATCGACATCATCTCGGACTGCGACGAGAGTCCGGCGCCACATATTCTTTCGCGCAGCTTGACATCGTACCTACAGTGGTCGGCGTGCTTGGAGGGCAATTGGGACAACCGTAATTACCCGTCGCATGGTAATTACCAGAACCCCGCGGAGATAATCGATATTCTTTTTTTTTATCAGGGCGAGCCGAGGTCGGAAGACGAAGAGGAAGAAGACGAGGAGGAGGAGGACGAATTGGAAGATACCCTCGAGGAGGACAAATATTATAGTGAGCATAGTGAGCATGAGTCAGGGGGCGAAGGCAAAGAAGAAGAAGAAGAAGAAGCGGAGGAAGCAAGTGAGGGGGAAGAGGCGGGACAGACGGAGACGCAGAAAGAAGACCCTGCGGAAGCGGAGCGGCGGAGGGCAGAGATAGCGGAGGGAAAGCGGCTATTGGAGCAGTCGGTGGGAACTGATCTGCCAATTCCGGACAACCCGACTCGAGATCCGGAGCCACCGACGGAGGAAGACGAGCACCTTGCTGCTGCGATTTCGAGCGTGCCGACGCGGAGGCAACGAAGCCACTCCCCCTCCCCTTTTCCCCGTCCCTCAGTTCGAGCACGTGGCGATGCGGGGCATCGGGCTACGTCCCCGATATTATCCCACCGTCCCCTTGATTACCTCACACTCCGGCAAATCGACACCCCGCCCTCATTTCCCTAAAATCCCTTCCCATTTTCTCTCCTTTACCAATTCTACGCTACTCACCTCGCCGTCGTAGTGTACCCGCATCCCGCTACTCACTGTGTCTCCCCATCTTTTTGCCTTCAGGTCCTTCTTTTCAGAACCACGTGACGGGGTTACAACGTGATCGAAGTCTACTGCACGGTCATGGGAACTATTCCCGGGTTGCGCAGATCACGAGCAATTCCGCGCGGCCTTGTTTCGCACCTTTTCAACTCTCTATCCCGATTACCTTGCTTCTCTCCCCCATGGCAGTCATCGCTTCCCGCGGATACACTGCACCATCAGGTACCTTGAGCTTCCCGGGACGGTAGCAGAGATGACGAACTTCTTGCCCGCACTTCCAAGTGAAGATCCCCCACCCCCCACCTCTGGATTCATACTTCTTTACCCTCCTCCCTCGGGACATTAAAAGCGGGTGCGAGAATCACGACGCGTCAGCAGGATGTTTCCACGCTCTTATCCTACGGTAATGACACATGTGATCTTTTGTGAAATTATGAGTCTTTCTTCTTTCTTATTCCTGGCTTTGGAGAGATATGGGTGCAAGTGGGAGCTTGCATAGGATGGAACCTCCAGGGTGTCACATACGTGACGAGCTCTTTTCCTGATAAGCGTCATCTTCTGTGCAACCAAAATTGGGGGTACATAGAAGGGATCGGGGATAAATTGTATGGTAGTCCCTCCTTCTTGGTTTTTTGACGTTTTCTTCTTGGTTCCTGGATAGAAGGGAGGCGGAGGTTATGAACTTCGGGGTAGTTGGCCCGCGCCTTAGTGAGCGCAGGGGGATAATGTCTGCTATGTCCTTTTTCTTTCTTTTTCTTTATTTTTTGACAGAAGTCCATCTTTTTTGCGCGGCAATTGCGTGGGGAATTCAGGTTCTCGGAATTTCTTTTTGCAATTAGGACCTTAATTAGAGTAGGAAATTTGGTGCCTTGTAATTTTTGCCTGTAACAGCACATCGCTTCTTACTTGCACGCACTTTGCTGCACCTGGGTCTGCGCTCTATTCTCGCCGCGCCTAAATTCCAATCTCAACTGCAATTTCTTCTTGCTCTTTCTTTGCCTACGCAGATGTAACTATAATCTTCCCCTTTCTTGATATTCTTTTCCGCATCGTTGCGTGCGCTCTCCCTTCTCTATCTCATTGGCCAAATCAGTACATAACTGGATCGAAGCGTGGAGTGAGGCTACGTCCCCCACGTCGCGGCCCAGTCATGCAGCCGTAGGCACTTCCTCCTTCCTTTCTCCTATTCTTCTTTGGCAATCCCGGTTGTTGCGTGCTGATGCACAAGCTATAAATTCCGCAAGCGCGATTAATGAGCTCTTTAATCCGCTTGGAAGTTAGCGCGGTCGAGAGGATCGGCTAACGAGCAGAAAAACGGTGAGCAGAGAGTCGGGCGACCCGACGAGCTGGTGCTGAGTATGCGGGGTTGACGCGTGGCCGCGAGCAACAGAAAAATTCCAACGAAAAATAAAAGTTGAAAAAAAAATTCATAAAAAAAAAATCCTTCATATTTAAAAATTATCATTCCAATGTTCGTCAAATTCTAAAATTTCCAGTTTTATTTTATAACTTCCCGTCTAGATATGAGCTTTCCCTTCCAACTACATCTATTTGTTTAAGATGGAATGAAAATCTGGATGAATTTATGAAATGTTTTAATTAAATTTTCATTCTGCTACAACAAATATCTTCTAATTTATATTGGATTAACCTATTTATGACTGAAAATCCTTCCTTAGAATGATAGTCAAATAAATATATTTCATGAACTCATCCAGACTTTCATTCCATCTCTAGCATGCAGTCCAAATAAGAAGGATACCCTATTCTTCGAATGAAAGTTCGTAAGATGAAAACTTTTAAAATTGGAATGACATTTTTTTTAGATGGAATGAAAATTTAAAATTTAGATAGTAATTTTACTATAGAATGATTATTTAATTCTAGGAATTTTTCCGTTGAGGGACTGTGGCACGCGGGCGAGCCTGGCTTGCATGCTTGGTGTAGCGGACCTTTTGTGGGCCTGTGAGATCAGCCCCTTAGCCTGTTCTTACAGGCGTGTGTTTTATTCGGGGCAGTCCAGTCCAGGCCGGTACCTCTGTCGGTACCAGCCAGTCCAGTCCTCCGTTGGGGTATACCCCAGCAGTTGTCGATTTTCGTGATCATTCTACACTGGCACGATTTTGGAGTACGTGCGTTGGAGTGTTGCGTGGGAGCTGCGCTGTGCATCTCGTTCCCCCCCTTCTTCCTCCATCTCCATCTCTATCAGCGGCGGAGCACCACACCTGGTGGGTCCGCTACATTGGTATCGGAGCGGGAACGTTCCCCGATCCCACCCACCACCCCGTACAGCTGGGAAAACAGCAAACCCGACAGCGGGTTTTTTCGCTGTTTTTCGGGTGTTTCCCAGCGAAAACGAGGGAAAAAGCAGGCGCTTGCAAGAGGTGACACGTGGCGAAAAAAAGCAGGCGCCACCATGAGGGAAAAAACAGGCGCCTGCAGGAGGTGACACGTGGCGAAAAAAGCAAGGCCAAGGCCGCCGCACACGCGCACGCCACGTTGTCTCGCCCCGTCCGCTCTTGGATTTACATTATTAAGATCTGGGATTTTTGCCGCCGTTGGGGTTTTGAACCTAGGCTCCTGTTGGGCCATGCGCGTGCGTAAGCACCTTCATAACACACTCGCCACAGAATGTACATGGCATTGTAGCACGACACACTCGTGTTGAAGAGGTGCAGTGCTAGCTATTTACCCCGCCCCCCCTCCCCGCCAGCGAGCAGCGGCCAGCAGGGCAGCAACGGCGAGGCTGCTATTT